TCAATATCCCCTTTAAACCACATCACTCTTTTTCACCTTGCAACTTTTGAAAGAGAAGACATAGGTTGCTGCTTTAACTGAATGTTTTAGTTATATGATTTCTTTTCCCGTTTCTGCATGTGCTGCATTATCCCAAGGGATTCTGTGGGGGTTTTTTTTCCTGTTCCAGCTACTGAACTGTTGTATCCAGAGGCATTCTCCATAACACAGAGGGAAAGCATCAGCACTGCGTCATATCTACCGGAGAAACCTAACAAGAAATACCAATTAAAAGTTTCTGCTACATTCAATTCTTAGTGAAATGAATACTGTCTTTGGAAGTAGGAGGCAGCTGTCAAACACAGCTCTGGACACAATAGCAAGCTCCTCTGAAGAATAGGTCATGAGGGGGAAATCAATAAATAAAGTACCTTCATCATTAATCATTTTCTGAATTTTTAAGTCAGCCAGAACATTTAGAAGTTGTACGTCAAGTTTCTTTTCTTTTCTACTGCTCAGCTTGCAGCCTGTGCTTTGATTGCAGAAGTTTCTGCTGATGCCAGGGCCGGCTGCTGCACCAAGCCAGGAGCTCCTCTGGGGTCAGAGGGGCAATATCTGTTCTGTTATTAGAGAAATTACTCAGAGCAATTTCACAGTTCAGCAAAACAGACTTATTGGTTGTATGCACTGTGTGTGCATGCCTTAACAAGCACTTAAAGGTTTTTTACTTCTGTTCCTTCGTTGAAACATTCATCTTTAACAGCTTCAGAAATGTTGGTAAGCATGGCTTCTTTTCCTACTTAACTTTAACAAGGAATTACTACCTTGCATATAATAAGGTTTCTACGGATATGGACTTCCCATTTCTGCTATAAATTCAGACACAAAAAAGTAAATTTGATGCTTTAGATAAAATCCAAAAAATGTGACAGGTGGCTTTTTAGTAACATGATTAGTTTTATTATTATATTCTGAATATTTGCTGTTAGCAGCGACCACCTCTTCTTGCAGACTCCTTTCCAAATTCAATTGCTTTATCCAACTTATCTCTGTTTATTTCTGCAGGGGCAGGACCGGAGAAAAGCAATGCTATTTCTGCAATATTTTATTTTATTTATTCTCAATGAAAATGAGAAGGTCTTTTTTACAGCTGCACAGCCTGTAATGTCAGATCCAAGCAATCAGCTAAAAAAAAAACAACCCGTAGTCACTTTGCAGGTTTAAAATAAAAAACAAAAAAAGAAAAAAGAAAAAAGAGAAAGAAATCAATTCATGTTGTCACAGCCTATCTAGAGTTATATTGTCCCCAGCCATTGATACAGAATAAAAACATCTGGGGATTCAATTACTCATGACATGAATAATAATATTTCATTTTTGTTAAATAAAACTTTATAGTGGCAGGAACTTCTGTTTACTGCACCATGCAATCCTGGAATGAAAGCTACCAGCAACTCAGTCTCTTTGGCATCCAGGAGCACATCATTGCAGGTGCATCTGCACCCCCAACAGAAAATCCTTATAAAGAAAATAAATTTTGAACACCTAATTAAAAGATGGGCTTCTGAGCTCCAAGCATAGCAGGTTTCTTAAATGTCACAGCCACCTTTTAAAAGTTTGAATTAATAGCCTGGTTCAAAAAGGCACACTTGTCCTTTGAACCAAACTCAGTAGCACCTGCAGCTGTCCAACAGTTTTGATCAACCCAAATCATATCTCTAAATAGAATTGCAGCCATTTAAGTCCTTATTTTAAGCTTCCACTTTATGACTGTCAGTTCATGCTTCAAGAGGATGCTACCACAACTGAGTTGTTATATATTTAATCTTTTTTCTTGATCAAGTAGAGCTGCCTCTAGTCTTAGTGGCAAAGTTGGGATCAAATCAGAGGATATTCATTTCACAGCAATGAGTAAGCAGCAATACTCATGCTAAAATTGCACTGACTTGTGCAATCACTTTGATATCAGCAGGACTGTTCTGCAAAATTAAGCATGTGAACCATTGTGACATGAACATCTAAAAGTTCAGAAGCAAAACATACAGAAAGGGCTGAAAGTTCACTACTTTTAGGGCTTTTTTTTTTTTCCTGTGTCAGGTGAAGCCTAGTCTTGTTTTCCCTCTTTCTTTCTTTATGGGCATTCATTAAGGTTAGATTACAGTAAACAGCCATGATTTGCATCCACTCTCCAGCATCACTTCTTTGCTGAGCCTTAAACGTCCCCTGTGGAAAATGGTGCAAAAGCTCTAAAAATTCCAAGGGTCTGGATGAAAAATGTTTTCCATTATAGCCCAGAGAAGCGCCACCCTGGCACTTTGCTGTTGGAGAAGTGCTGTGTAGGGCACAACTTGTAAAACATACAGGGAGAACATCCATGGAAAGTGGGACAGGTCCTCAGTGGTTCCGGAGTGGCAAAACATCACCTCTAGTAAGAGACTTACAGCACCGCTGTGAGACACTGCTCCAAACGTGGGAGTTTGGGCCTCAGAGTCTTCTGCTGACCACAAGAAAACTTTAGGTGTTGCCTGCTTCCAACTGCAAGACATAGACAGAAAAACTGCCATCATCTCACAGGAGGAATCTCAAGTCAGCACCCCCAAAAATAAAAAACAGGCACCACTTACTGCTTTGCAGGTCTCGTGTATGGCTTTTATGTAATGCTTCTAGTCCCACTGCGATCATTGCCTTTTAAAACTGCGTAGCATTTTTGGACTCCAGTAAAAATGTTTTTAATATAATGTAGATGAAGTATAAAGTGTTAACCTTGAACGCCAGGGAATGCGTTAGGCTTTGTTGTTTTTTTTTTTAAAGCTCTTTCAATAATTTACTGAGAATTGTCTAAGATTTGCTTGTAGTTCATAGCCAATCTTTTGGAAACATTTAAATAGTTGCAATTTTTGTAAATGTTACAATAGCAATGATTTCATAAATAAAAGCAAAGCTCAGGCAGCAGAGAATGTTGAAGAGAGCACTAAACCAGAATCTCTGCTCTTATAGGAGCATCAGTGTGGGTTTCCTGACATTGCTCCATCCATGTATCTTACTACTGCTTTTCTGGGACCAGTGGTAAGGATGATATATAAAAATTCTGTATATGAGTAATTAGTTTCTAACTATTCATAAAACATATCATACTCTATGTTATATCATAGTATAATATATGATACATGCCTTGTCCATGCTGTAGCAAAGGTACTAAGAGAAAGCTTCTCAACCCTGCCACATTAACAAATTTCCCTTGACTTTAGTTGCTGGTTTGCTTCTCCAGCAGATGATGTGCATATACTTTTTGTCCCCTCCCAAATTGCATATGTACATCACAAGTTATTTCCATTTGCATTGACTTTCTAAATAACATTATTCTGGTGGTCTTAAGTGCTAAACCCACACTTTGGCAAAGGATACATGCAAATGAATAGCTTGGAACTATTTCAACTGAGTTAGAAAATAAAGTGAGGAGGGGAAAAGAAGTTTAGTTTTCTAAAAGTTGGTTTCCTTTGCTGTTTCTTATGTTGGAGTGGTGCCTCAAAATCCACCTGCAATGGTTCCTTTCTCTACCTTCATTCAAACTGCTTTTCAAAGGCTCATTTTCTGAGCAAACCCAAGAAATACCATTCCCGTGTCAGTCAAATGTTCTCCACAGGCCAATGTAAATTTAACTTCAACCAGCAAGATATTGCAGTGCTATTAAGTGGAACAGATAATGAACCTAAATAACTGCTCAATCTTATTAGTGTAGCCCTCGTACACCTTCCGTGTTTCTTCAAGCCCTGCTGCTTAGCATTCATACTGCCTGATTTGAGACTAAAATTAGATTATAGGAATGCGTGCTTTTTACAAGAGGTCTTCTATTTGTTTCATGAAGTATTTAGTACTCTTTAGGCACTGTATAAATAAAAATAATCACGATCTTGGAATTCACCTTCAGGAATGGAAATGAAGAGATCTGAGTCCTTTCATTTCTACTGCACATTATCCTCATCGGGCACGTTTAGCAATGCTTTGTAAAATGAGTTAAAACGATGCTTGGAAGTCTGGTTAAGGTGAATAACAGAAAAGAGAGTAAAAAAAAAAAAAAAAAGAAAGGGGGAATATGTCTCTAGTTTCAGAGTTTCACAATAGGGAATAAAAACAAAAGCTCTACCAGACTTTTAAGATAAAGGTCTGCTGTCGGATTCATTAACGTTTGTGAGAGCTGCTAACAAGTGATGGGGGAAAATGGTTGTGGATTCCAAAACCAGGACTCTGAGTAAAATCACTTACACCCATGTTGAGATTCAAAGGCTATGTATAATGAGGAACCATTTCAGGATTGTGAGCCATGATTTCTGAGGACTCTGCTCTGTGAGAAGAGTTGCTGCATTCTGGGTCAGAACCGTATCAATTCCAACAATCATTTCTGTCTGACTTTCCCTCCTCCTTCCCAGGATCTATATTTAGGACTCAAGTACCAAATATTGAAAGTTTTTTTGAGGTTAAGCATGCCAATGTTCCCAAAACTCCAGCAGGCATTAGCTTACATCACTTGGCACTTTAACACTTATAGAAGTCGGGCTGCTCACCTTAAATTAAAGCTCTCATCAGGTGAAATGTCTAGTCTATGCTATTCCCCCAGGCTCCATTTTCAGGCAATGGAGAAAAAAAAAAACAATTCCCAAGGTTATTCACCCTGCCCTGAGATGTGGTACCTATTTCTCTTCATTTCTCCCCTGGTTCTTTCCTCAGAGGACTTTTGTGATAGCTAAATTTAGGCAATGTGAATCCTGCCATTGGTATCTTAGTAATTTCTGAATGCAAGTCATCAGTAAGCACATATGGATAATCACCTCTATGCTCCTTAGGCTCCTCTTTAGATTTTAAAAATATCTCTTTAGAAAGGGATCAGATTGCACATAACTGTGTTTGAAGATTAACATTAGCTGTAAAAAACATATTTCAAAATGTCTGTAATACAAAAAAAAAAAAAAAAAGAAATACCAACAGCTACTAGAAAGAATCACTCCATGTCACATTATAAGGATATTGAAGCTTTACTCCAGAAAAATAAAAGATCAGAATAGCAAGGAGACACCCTGTGTATTATTTCCTCAAAAAAACCCCAGATTGGCTTACAATAAATCAAACTTGTTACCATCCCAAATAATTATTGTAATTTATATTACACTGCCTCAGAAAGACCAAACACCATCAGGGCATTCCTCTACAGCAGATATAATGGGTAATAGGCAGTCCTGTTTGCAGTGCAGGAAAGCAGCTCAAAGGTTAGATGAAAGAAAATAGTATTTAGAAATCAGCATCTGAGGCATAGTAAAAGGTCAAACATCAGGTTTTGTTACTTTTTTTTATTTTAAAGGAGTGATTAGTTAAATTCAAGTCTCATTTCAAAATAATGACTTTCTTTAGAAAATAGCAGGCATCCAAATTATGGAAAATCTGCTCTTTAAGACAGTTGACTAGAGAACATTTAAATATCGAGGGCTGGAATCTTTTTCTTTTCTTTTTAATGATGTGGTTTAGGAAAAGATAGAAGATGATATCATTTCCAAAGACTAGCTCTGGATAACTGCATATAGTTTGACATTCAAGATATTTTAATGTTATCAGCTAGCACTGCCTGCCATCCGGGATGAGTAATGTTTTCTTGACCAATTATTTATGTGCCTCTAAACAAGAGTGAGTTTTGAGAAGGAATTTATTTGAAGGTGGAAAGCAAAACTTCTGTGTTTGAAGAGAGGGCCACAAACGGGCTATGCCAAATCCCTGCTTTATTTAAGGGAGAATAAAGCTTCAGTAAATATTATATGAAGGTATGGACAATTCTGTCATAGTTTGGCAGAGACACTCATAAAGTGTAGGCAGATGGGTGTTCAAGCCTGACAGGACTGGCAAAGCAGCACAGGTGACATGAGAGGACATCCACATTATAGGAAACATGAGGGATGAAAAGTATGACCTGGTGCTCTCAGGGGGAGGGAAATTGCTTGGCAGAAGACCTCACCTGGGAGGAAACCAAAAGAGCAAACACAGAAGTTAACCCCAGCTCCCACCACCCATGCAAACCCAGTGAAGATAGCAATTGACATGTCAAGTTTGTCTTTAGTCCATGCCCCTATTACTGTCAGGAAAAATTCCTTTTCGTTTTATAGTAATTAAAATGCTCATAGATGTTTTATTAACTCACTCTACAGAGCCACATAGATTTTATAATTCATCCAAGCACTTACAAGTAGTTACTTGTGTTAGGCTGTCAAGACAGAAATGATTCAAAACCTTGTGTACTGAGCTTCTTGGAAGACATATCATTCCCTAACACAATGGTATTAGAAAGACTGCTGACAGTTAGTGATCAAGAGATTTCATTTTGCTTGTCATATGGTGGGTTGTCAATTCTTCTTTTCCCTTCAGATAAAAGCTTAGTTGCATTAGATTTCAATAACGGTGAAGTTGCAGGTTAACGCTTTTCAAAAGTACCAAAGTGACTTCAGTACTTAAATTCTATTTTCAAAATGCTGCAGACACCCAAGAACAGAACTCTCTACAGTAAATGGAACTCAGACATTACTAAAGAAAGTTATGGAATGGTGGAGAATAAAACCCCTTCTCTAGAGAGCTATAGTTTGTACCCTACTCCAGACCAGAGGTTTAAAATATATAAAGTTTGTAGATTACTGAAATTCTAGGACAAGGCAAAGATTTATATTTTCATTTTTAACATGTTTGATTTCACATTGATATATCCTTTGCAGATTTCCTCATGCACTTCTAAAAAAAATTCTGAAAGAAAATTTTAGGACGGTCCTCACCTCAAAATATAAGTTTACCTGAGTTATGCTTAAGATTTAAGCAGGAGCTGCAGAGATATTTTTTACAAATTTGTCCATGAAAAATATATATGCAAATTATTTGCCTTTTTTTCCCCCCAGCAGCTTAGAGGAGGAAGTGACCGTTTAAACTTTGCTCCCCCCTGGAGTGAAATGTAAAATTGAGCCAGTACATAAAAGTGGAAAAGTAGCCCAGATTTTTCTTCTGTTAGTACTAACCTAGTATTAAGCAAATAAATAATCCATGTGGTTAGTCTATATTTAAAATATTTGTTCTTCTTTAAATATAAAGTAACTTTCACAGAAACAAACAGAAGTGGCTAGAGACTGAAATCATCCCTTTGATATTGAAGCCGAGTATTTTCTCCTTTAAGCTCCAAACATCATCTCCCTCATGCCCACAGGGCTTTCCCACTGTGCTCCAGCACTCCAGCGTTCTCATTCACTGCTCCCCTCACTGCTGAGCTCACATGATGGTCTGTGAAAGGCTGGTTACAATCTTATGTTCCACAAGATTTTAGGAGCTTATCTTCATTCATTAATTGTTCTGTATCATGTTTAAATGGTGAATTTCTGAAGTTAAAACTGGATTTCTTCTAATGCTTTTAGTCTGCTCTGTTATTGCAGGTACCATCTAGGAGACGTTGAGAGCAAACATGGTTTGAAATAGAACTGCAATAGCAGCTATGGAACATCTAAAAGGGAAAAAAAAATAGGCCAGACCTTTATTAAATTTTAAAAGTATGCCTTCGCTACACTCTTGTAAAGATCCAAATAGGGTATTCAAATCTCCGGAGATCACCAGTATAATTTCTTTATCATGTTCCATTTAAAATTTAATTATGTAGTCTACAACAAGAAGTATCTGAGTACTCTAAATAGGTCATGCTATGAACAACTTAATATTATTATAAAGTTTTCCTTGTGAAGATCTGTTCTTTGATGTACTGTTGCTCACAGAAAGCCTTTCTTCGAAAAAACAATATACATTCATAGCTATAATAATGTCATTTAATGTAAAAATTGTAAAGCTTCTTTATCACATTTTAAGTTTGAATTTTCAATTCTTTCTCTAGCCTGAGCTTCCCCAAATCATCAGAAATAACTGGTAAATTAGAACTGACACAATATAATTGTGCTGAATATTTTCATATCTTTCTACAGGCAAAGTTAATCTATTAGCTTTCCTTCTAAATGATGTCCACCAACTCACATTTTTCTACTTTTGTCTATCCATGTTACACATATTTCAGTGGAGAAGTAGTGTAATTTCTTCTTCCTCTTAAATATAATCAGTAGAGAACCATCAGCAGCATTTAATGGAAAATTACTATATTAAAAAGTCACCATTGGCCAAGTCACTTTGTTATTTTTTTTTTTTTTTTTTTTTTTTTTTTTTTTTTTTTTTTTTTTTTTTTTTTTTTTTTTTTTTTTAATGCACACATGTGACCTTTCTTGGTTACTATAGAAGATGAGAAAACATTCACAATATTCTCTTCTGTAACTTCTGACTAATTACAGGGCTTTAAAGGAGCAAATCCCTAACTCCTCTTCTTTAATTAATTGATGAAAAATTCAGAAAGAGTTTTTGAGACTTTTTTTTTTTAAATTTTTCTAATGACAACAACAACAAAAAAAATTCATGCCTAAACTTTCCTGACAGCCAGACAAAATATTCCAAGTACAGACACATCTGTTCACACTTACATCATTTGCAGTTGAAAACCCCCTTTCACCAGTTTTACAAATGCTTGAAAAGGATTTGATCAATCCTGGCTACAAATACATCCATGAGTCATTACTGCTTCAAGAAAAGGCATCTTGTTTATCTGTGGATTTCTAGAGTTACAGGGGGATTGCTCTGCCCCACTGCACAAAATACAACAAGCGCAGTGATGATGGAAAAGTGGTTATTAATTTCATCAAAGGTGCAACACCCAAAATGTTTATGCTATAAAGTATTTTCAGGGCGAAGGTGGAAGAAGATGTTGTGTTGGTGGAGAAATTAGACTATTTCACTGTTATAAATTTATAATAGCAAAATGATTCTCTTGAAGTTTGAAAGAACAAAAAATATCAGATTAGTACATCACAACACAAGATTAAAAACCCCAAAGAACTGCTTGTTTAGAGAGACGCAGGAACAGGTGAATCCTGGAGGCTGGAGGACAAGCCAACCTGCACCCAGCTGGAAACATTTGTTTTAAATCCTGACAAGATCATTTGGTTTAATATTTATAACACAATTACAGTCCCTTGTGCACATTGCTGGTATAATCTGATTTTTACTTGTGACATCTTGCTACAGTTGAAATTAAAGCCTTGTGGTAATAATTCAAAAAGCACATTTAGACAATCATTAATGGCAAGTACAAAACAGGATGTTTATTCAAGCACTTATGTATCTCATTTTAACTTTAATTTGAAGTGGAATTCATTTCTGCAGTATAAGAACTTCATGTTTCCAGTATATTAGTCCTATAATACCTAACCAATTGGGGCATGCAGTCAAACTGGAAGTATTTTAGCACTAGAACCTGCTACAGCTAAGCATTGATATTGACATTCCTAATCAAGGACATGGCTACTCTGTTGAATCCCTTTTTTTTTTTTTTTTTTTTTTTTGCTAAGTATGAAGAATTGTAATTATTTTGCAAGGAAGATAGATAAAATCTTTTGTGTCAGGTAGGCCTGATCACTGGTCAGCACTTCGAGCACTTGGCAAAATTTCACCAGCAGATTTTCTTGCACAACTGGATATCAAGTCACAACCATAAAAACAAATTTACCTATTAAATAAACTAGTCACATAAATCACACAAGTTTGTACCAACAGTACAAATTGTTTACAGAGTGGGAAAAACATCACATACGATGAAAATATACAATTTTACAGCTTATTGATATAAACAAGTCAGCTAATATATACCACATGCACCCTAAAGAAGGCTACATATTTTTTCACTGCCTTAGAAGCAGAAATAACTTTTATGTATTACCATGTTGAAAGAAAACTGACTTTCTTGTTGAAATATTCCTTTTACGTTATATATTGTATGAACTACAACACTGCTTTTAATCAGAGGGTAACAAAATCCCCCAAAACCAGGACCCCACTAAAACCCCCTGCACCTCAGAGAGCAAAACTGGTGACAGAAGATACAAGTGGGCTGAGAAAACCATTTTTTTAAACTCACAGGCATCTCTCCTAAGTGACAGGTTACCATATCAGATTTTTGTGTTTCCCTTCTCTCCACCCTTCTGTATGATTACAGCATTTTATTGCATCCTTTGACAATATGTAGGAAGGTCTCTCTTCAAAAACCTCTCTCACAGCCTGGGAGTCTTGTCTAGGTATATTATTTTATGAAGAGCTTTCTCAGCACAGAAGAATTTGGTCTAAGCTGCTTTCCTGCTTTCCAAATGAAAATGCCTCTAAGATCACAGTGTTTCTTCCTCCTACCTCCAAGTTTCCCTCCCCTCATCCCTCAGGTGAAATGTAAAGCAAAAGCCAAACCACCTGCAATGGGTATAATTGCACAGCTGGAAGGAAGCCACAGCTGGGATTTTTCTCATCAGGAGCACGACTGTGCTGAGCCTCAAAGCAACTTCAGCACGTCGCTTTAACTGTGTGGGTTTGGCTGTGCCAGTATTTCAGTGTCTGTGGCATGCAGCGAGTGCTCTTCTCTCTGCACCCCCAGTTCTCAGTATCCCAGCAGTTTTCCTTAGGAAAAGGATCATATTCTGGCTCAAAAGGTCGTGCTTCTTTCAGCACCTCCCAGACACTGACACAGAGACGCAGTTTAGAGCAACGTTGCTTACCTTGGTAATGTTCCAGATAACTCTGTGGCAGTCTCTCTGAAAGACACAAAGTGGGAAAAGATTAGCTTGTGTTTTAAATAGCTATAAAGTTTTAAAGAAGCCTGTATATTGGTTGTATTTTATAGGAGTGCAGACACACGTACACAGCTTCGTACGCAAAAGCCTCGCTTGCAGATGCGATGTGCCCATGATCATACAGAAAAGAATGCGAAAAAAAAAAGATGACAGAGCGTGATCTAAGGATTTCATCAGAATAAAGTTCTCCATGGTACAATTACTCATTTTTTTTAGGCATAAAATTATCACTATTTCAAATGCCAGCACTGCATGATCTTACGTAGCCAAAACGCAGCACTTGGGCCAATTTTCCAGTGGAAAATGTTCCCTTTTCTTCAAGTGCTGCAGCAAAAGCAAGACATTAGACAGTTCTACAATCATGTTATGCACTGAAAAAAAATACCACGTTAACATTCAGTCTTCTTATGGTGGGTTTAAACCACAGTTATTTTCAAATATGTGACTTCATCCAGTTTACTTGTCTGAAACTCTTTTGTGGGTTTGCAATTTGTTTGAGGGAAGCTGCATGTGAGATAGTGAAAGCAGGCTAATGTAGTGGTATGTCACATTAAAGCACAATTATCTACATTATGATTACCTAAGTACATAGTTCTTAAAATACATCCCAGATCTACCACCACTGTATATCCTTGTTCCCCTCCCCAGCACATTTGCTTAGACCTTCTCCAAGCATGAGGAAAACAGCTGGATAGCTCCTTTCTTCCTTTCTCTCCCATTTACAAGAGCTTAAAAAAAAAAAACCAAAAAAAAACAGCAAGGAGGCATAAGGGAGTTGTCCTAGACTGGACCAGAGGTCCATCTCATTTCACACTGTTCTCATTCAGCTGTGAATTCTCTGCCCTTTGGTTAAGTTTCCTGCATGAAAGGTAACAGGTTAGTTCATACCCTGTTTGTTTCAGCTGAGATGCAAATTGCAAAATTTCACATCTGTAGCTTGGAGCTTGTGGTATGGGACAATTCTTAACATAATATTCTTTTCTTTTTTTACAGCTGAGGAACAGAAAATCCTTCCATCCACATTTACATAAGGGGGAGGGAATCCTTTCCATAAAGGGTTGCGGTAATAAAATTAAGACAGGTCTCAAAATCTTCCTTGCCATAACAATTTCCCAAACTATGGATCTAATGATCTCTTAGTATGGAACCAAGCCTAAACATTTTTGTTGCAAGGGTATAAACCTTATACATACAGTTTGAACCCCCAAACCTAATATATTTATGAATCCAAAGGTAAAAAACCCTAATAAATATATTTTTGAAAGCTCTTCTAGAGTTTCACCATGTTCTGAAATCACTTTTTTTGATGGGGCAACTGCAGAGTTATTTTCTTAAATGCCACAATAACTCAGAGCTCCTCTTTAGGAGATCTTTCTAGATCCCCTGTGCTTTTTGGCACTATATGAACTATATGAGCATCTACAAGGGTCTAATTTTTTTAATTTTTTTTTTTTTTTTTTTTTTTTTTTTTTTTTTTTTTTTTTTTTTTTTTTTTTTTTTTTTTTTTTTTTTTTTTTTTTTTTTAAATTCAGCATTCCACAGTGACACCCAGGCCTTTTCCTTGATAGTTACACTGGCAATTGTAGACTCCATGACAGTGTCAGAGAAGATGAAACGGGCTCTATAAACACTCATGGCTTTGCATTTTCCACTGGGTCTCTACCTCCAAACTGTGCAGTTTGCCGGTCACAGAAGGTGGCCTGAAACCTCCCAGTGTTTTGCTTCAAAAGGCACAGATCAGAACTGTGTTCAGTGGTTGCAAGGAAGAATTAGCAAGAAATAAAAAGATGGCTCATGGCCTTTTCTTGCACGCACCATTCAGCAGCAGACCAGCAGATATTTAAGCCATCTCAGAAGAGCCAGTTCCCACCCCAGCTTAGGCAGATGGGTACATATTTAGTAGGTGTCTGTGATGAACAAAGTCCATGGTATAAATGACATCAAAGGTGAGAGCCAGGAGCAAGAGGAAGTGAATGTAAAGAGATAAGAAAATTAAATTAGAGTGGAGCAATACAGACTTGGTTTCTATGGGGTTATGTGATATAGCTGTACATTTTAGATATTTTATTTTCATTAAACTCCTGCACATTGGTATCATAGAGCCTTATTTTCCAAGCCCTACTCATGGCTTACACAGTTCAAAGAATTAATATAATATTTTTTTGTAACCTATCAAAGAACTGAATCACTAAATGGTTCCAACAGTCAGGATTTTTTTTCCCTTCCACCACTAATCCCAGACATCATCTCTTTTCACTGAAATGCTTTTTTTTTTTTTGAGGGAAAGAACCTGGATTAAAAAGTCAGGCTGGGCATTTCTTTGTTTCTTTTTCTAAAGGGTCTTGATAGCCTTTAGCTACCTGTTACTGTTCTAATAGCAGAATAGCCCAAACCCTATTGCTTTAGGGTATGGGAGCACATTTTATAAAATAGCAGTTGCTCATCCAGCTTAAAGAGACAACCAGGCAAATCACCGGTGGGTACTGCAGGAAACATTAAGGAGCAGGATCAGGTAGGTTTAAAAGAGGATGTTAAACTGGAATCACACTGTCAGCTTCTGAGCAGAGCAGTGAGTGATTGGTGTGTCTAAATTTCTAAAGATTTTAATTTTTGTTAAATAACCCTCTCTACAAGAGATATTAGAGTTGTGAAAACAGCTATTAAATAGTCAATATAGTGGTAAAAAAATCTGAATGTGATCAGAATGTTAAACAAAGACACTGCAGGTCTTTAGCATATACATTTTTAATGTAATTAATTATGTTGCCAGTTTCACATTTGGTCAGATCAAATTCCAATTTTAAGCAAAAATATGTAAGGTAATGATTTTTGAAATATAGATCCAACTCAAACAAAACTCAAACTTAGAAGTAAAAGAGGAGAAGTCTGATTACTTCCCAACTATCCCAAAGATTTCACTGCTTCTCATCAACTCAGGAAAAACACCATAAAAATAAATTAAACCTCCCCTCAGATGATGAAGCTAAAAATATTTTCTTAGAAAACAAACACAATTATCCCTGCAATGCCACTGGAAATAAATGGCACGTGGACTACTGAAGATAGTTAATGTCCACTGTAAGTGTCCTATAAATATTAGGAATTGAAACACTGCTCTATAAATATATTTCATGGGAGTTTAAAAAAGAAAATCTTATGGAGCAAATTACTCATCAAGAAAACCCTTAAAGTTTATTTAAAGATGATAGATACTCGTTCTGTAGTATTTCAAGAAAGTGAAGCTAGACTTGTGCAACCAATTTTCAGACCCCTAGTACTCCCCAGTGACACACACAATAAATATAACTCATAATTTACTGTATCTACAGGAAAAAAAAAAAACAACAATCACTTGGATAAAAGCAAAAGAAGGCTGATACTCAAAAGGAGGATGAATATAAGATCACATATTTTCACATCCTGTCTATGATATGCAAAGATGACCTTGAGAAAGGATGAGGATGGAAACTTGAATGCTTCGTCAGAGCTGCCCCGAATTCCACTGAAATCAGTGCCAATGCAAATGGGTTAAGCTGATGCACAACAAGGCTAAGGTCAGAAGAGGACAAGGCTATAGACCCTGGAAAAGCTGTTACATGGAGGGTGGCATTACAGAAGAGCAGTCACAGCAATTCTGGGAAGGTCATCTGCAATTTCCGAGTGTTTCTGTGTTCAGCTACAAAGGATGGATCTGGGGCAGCAGAAATGGTACATATGGAAAGTGAAGGTGCTGTTGGACCCAGGAGAGTGCTGGGTAGGAGGTCTACACCCCAAAATGCTATACCCTCACATGAGGTCTTCCAAAGAAGTAAAACACAGGTTTAGAAGTTGCTCATGAGACCTGCAAAGAGCTTTGACGTAAGGAATAGGCTCTGCACCCTCAAGTGAGGACTATGTAGATATTATCAAAGCCCAGAAAGCCAGTGTGGGTGAACCAAGCACCACACACACACATTTTGTCATTTCTCTCTACAGGCTGAGAAATCCTTCCCGTAGGATTGGAGTAGGATGTATACCAAAGCAGAAAAGTATAAATATTTTAGTCAAAACCTTATAGTGAAGTGGAAGTGGGAAGATCTGCATAAAGATCAGCAAACAGACTTTACTGCCTAATAGTTCTGTTTGAAGAGAGTTGTTCAGGAAAACTCTTCATAATATCTGGAAAGTGTTTGTATTAAATGTTTTGTTCACTGAGAAATCATATGGTGCTCTGCTCTCAGAGGCTGGCTGGCAGCTGCTGTTACCCACCTACCTGCAGGATTTGGCACAACACAGCTCTGAGGTTTAACTGTGCAACATTGTACACAGTTTGCCAAGAGAAGTTGTGACTGCCCCGTCCCTGGAAGTGTTCAAGGTCAAGTTGGATGGGGCTTGGACTAACCTGGTCTAGTGGAAGGTCTCCCTGCTCTTGGAAGGGCGTTGTGATGATTTCTGCTGGGTTTAAGGTTCTATGCTGTTCTTCTGCAGAGATGTAAACTGAGGCATAGGAGATAGGGAAGGTTCTAAAGGGCAGCTGAGGTCGTCTTAATGTATACATTCAGCTAGATGTATGCCAGGAACCTCAGCAAGTACCAAGTTGAAACCATACAAGTCAGTTAGAAGGAAATTCTATACGGAGAGGGTAATCAGGCACTGGAACAGCCTACCCAGAGGGGTGGTGGATTCACCATCCCTGGAGGTTTTTAAAAAGAGATTGGATGTGACCCTTAGTGCCATGATATAGTAATTGGAGTTGGATCAGGGGTTGGACTTGATGATCTTGGAGGTCTTTTCCAACCCAACCTATTCTATGATTCTATAAGTCAAGACTATGCACAGAAACCATTTCTTTTTCTGCAGTTTCATGACCCTTACTGATTTTGAAGCTGTAGGTCTCCACTGAGCACAACTTTTTTTCTGAAAAGGAAAGCATATGGATTCTAGCTAAGCAATCTGTCAGGGTGCTGGGGAAGATGCAAAAA